AGGCACCCCTAGGAGAGGAAAAAGGCTTGGGCCAAGGCCCTGAGGCAGGAGAGAGCCTGGGCTGTTGTAGGAGTTAAAAGCAGAAGTGGCTAGGGCATATCAAGCAAGGGGGATGAAGGGGCGGACAGATGGGACTGGCTTGGGTGTGGGGGTCAGGAGGCCTCCACCGCGCAGGAAACCCAGGGGAAGGCCGTTGTGTGAGGAGGAGTCAGTTGGTTGTTTGGTGAGTGTGGGAGCCCTCAGTACATCAGGGGAGCAGGAAGTCAGCCAGAGCTGAGGCATAGCAGAGGGGCCCCTTGGTGGGGGGTGGGAGCCTCCTGATTGAATGGGTCCTGGAATGGGTTCTGGCATCACCTGCGATTTAAGGAACAGGTCCTGAGGATCCTGCCTGGTGGTGGTAGTGGTAGGGTGTGTAAAACCTGAGCCCCTCTCCATGGAGGCGAGGTGGTGGTGTGGAGAGGGCGAGGACTGGAACTCTCGAGGACTGTCCCAAGTACAGGGCACAGGCTGACCCAGTGGGGTGGCAGTAGGAGTGACTCAGGAGTGGGCCCTCGCCCTGGTAGGCCCCCTTCATCAGGCCCCAGTGCTCCGCCCTGGGCCAGAGGACGGTCAGTGTACAGGGGTGTGTGTGTGTGCACATCCGTTAATGTGTGTGTGCCTGGTTACCGTGGTGTGCACACGGAGGTACTTATCACCACTGTGTGCAGTCCTGGGTCGGGTTCACCTGTGTCCGGGTTCGGGTCTGTATGGGACTGTGTTGATGTGTGTGCACTTGCCTCTGACCCACGCGTGTATACGAATCAAGGTTCAAGGACGAGTTTCCATGTACGCGTAATAAGTAGGCTCATGCCCCTGTGTGTGCCTTCTGGGTACAGGTGTGGGCAAAAAGTGTCGCCGAGTGTGCTGGCCTTTGTGCATGAGTGTGTGCCGGTGTGTCCTCGGAGCGGGATGGGGCCGCGAGCGGACGCCGCTGCGTGGGGGAAGGCTGGGGAAGGCCTGGCCTCCCCTTGCGGGCTGGGGGAGACGGGGCTGCGCGCAGAGGGCGGGGATTCCCCTCCCCTCCCCCGCCAGCGGCGCCGCGCGCCGGGCTCGCGGGGCGTGCTCGCTGGGCTCAGGAGGTTAGAGCGCCGCCGCCGGCCGGCCGGTCGCGATCAGATCCACGCTCGAACCGGCACCGCGACCACCGCCGCGGCTGGGCTGAGTCCCCGGAGGAGCGACGGTGGGAGGGGGGTGTCTGCCACCCGCCGCCGCCCCGGCGCCCCCCGCTCTGGCGGCGGGCCGGCCGCATGCTGCAGATGGTGAAGACCCTGGCCCAGTTCACCATCGCGCTGGAAGACATGCGCGATCTGGGCCCCGCTGCTGCCTCCGGGGAGCCCACCGGGAACACCGATGTGGAGGAGCCTGGGGAGGCCCAGGTACGAAGGGGAGGGGCAGCCAGGGACCTGGGCCCAGGCCTAGAACTCAGATGACTCCAGGTGGGGGCAGGCATGAGCAGATGCTGTGGGGCAGGAGCGGGAATCGGGTTAGGCACATCAGTTGCCTGGCCGTGAGTCTGGGGGCTCAGTGCCCAGTGATGGGGGCAGGGAAGTTGAGGGCGTGTGAGGGGTCCTGGCAGGGGTGGTATGGCTGTCAGGCCCCTGAGATTTGGTGTCCCCAGGATGCAACCTTGGGATGGCAGAAGGGCTGGCAGGCTCAGCTGGGGTGGTAGGTCTGCACCCTGAGACCCAAGGCCTTGGCAAGGCCTAGAAGCACAGGTACAACCGGGTGGGGTGGCAGTAGGGCCCTGTGATGTGGGTCAGCATGGAGGCAGAGGGTATCATAGGTCCACTGCTCAGGAAGGGGAGGTTTTCCAGCCTCCCTCTCAGGCCTGAGGCAGCCCCAGGTGTATATATGTGTTGGGGGGTGGGAAGCAGCCAGTTGTGCTCCTCTGCATGTCATCCTCTCCCTGCCATTGGGTCTACTGGGCCTTGGAGATGTCACGCCATGGTGGCAATGTGGTTTCCCCGTTCCTGGCTCACTGTAGGTTCACCTGCAGCAGAGGAGCAGGCTTCCAGGGGCCCTATGCATGCCTTTGTGTCTCTGTCGGCCTGGACTCTGATTGTTCCGCTCTCTTCCAGTGGGGGCTGTGTTTCTGTATTCCTCTGTGTGCTGTGTTGTCTGTCTCTCCACCACTTCGAGTCTCTGGGCTGAAAAACCTGGTTCTCAGCTGGGTGACTTGGCTGCCTTTTTTTTTTTCTCTGTGCAGGGTATCTGGACTTTATGGCTTCTTTCTGCATACATGTGTCTCTGTCTTCTTGCTGTGTGTATCGTGGTCTCAGGCTTTGGGTCATGATGTCCCAATCATACTATTGGTAGAGGCCTTCCCTTTGTCCTCCTGCTATGTCCCTGCAGTCCCCACCTCCCCCTCATCAGTTGCCTGGCCATGGCAGTGCCCAGAAGGTCTGGGGATGGTGGGGGAGGAGCTCTGGGGGGAGGTTGGGCCTACAGGGCTGTCCCGCCCAGAACAGGTGGGCCTGTTGATCTGGTTGACAGCTGCATTGCGCATCTCCTGCTTCCCCTGGCCCTTGCCACCCATAGGCTTGCACCCGTGTCTGGGCACGTGCGGTAGGCCACTCAGTTTAGTGACAGGGAGCAGGCCTTGATTTCCATGCCTTTACCTGGCAGCTGAGTGACAGCCCACTGTGCTTTTACAGAGAGGAGGCTGGGAAAGGCGGTGTTGCAGCGTCAGCTTCCGTGCACGAGTTACCCCACTCTCTGTGCCGTCAGGGCCAGCACCCCCCTGCCTCCCTCAGGAGGCCTGCCTGCCCATGACCCTCACTGCTGGGCCTGGCAGGGCTGAGCCAGGGGAATGGTGGGGGAGGGTGGCCATGCTGGCCAGGGCTGAGCTCTCAGGGAGCTCCTTATCCAGGAGGGAGACAGACGAAGACAACCTCACTGAGGTAGAATAAGGATGGACACTGAAGACCCAGAGAAAGAGAGAGCTAGAGAGAGCTGCCTGCTCCCCATCTCCCTGCTTTCACAGTACTGCGAGGGAGGTATTATTCATTCCATTTCAAAACGGAAAATGTAGAAACCCGGGGTGGTTCAGTGACCACCCAAGTCACACAGCTGGCAAGGCCTGAGCCAGGGGCCCTGTGGCCTGCAGGTGGCCAGTCCTTTTCAGCGAGAACTGCAGGTGCTCGGGCTCCAAGACTCAGCGTGAGGTGGCCGAAGTGACTGGACCCCACTCTGCTGGTCAGTGGCTGGGTGTCACCTCTCTGACTTAACTTCCTTGCCTGTGAAGTGGAGATGTCAGTACTGTGTCAGGGCTGTGAGTGGGGCTGAAATGAGGCCATATCTCTGAAGTGCTGTGATGTCCCCGGGGGCATCTGGGCTCCCCATCCTAGGGTGGACTCAGCTGGTGCTACATCCTACTGGAAGCTGCCCTGGTTTTCTGAAGGCCTCAGAATCACTGAGGATAGAGTGGCTATAGCTGGGGGCTCTGAGGCAGGGCCCTGCACCTTCTCACCCATCAGAACACAGGGCTTCTCCCCTTCCCCTCCCTCTGAGTTGCTAGTGTAGGAGCCCACTTTTCTGAGTGTGCCATACTGTAGGACAGGCCTGACTTCTGAGTCCCTGGGTCAGAGGGATGGGAACCTGAGGTGGGCATGCCATGAGTCAAGGGGTATGCAGTGGCTGGATCTGGCAGGCTGCACAGGCCTGGGGCTCAGGTCCACTCAGCAGACACAGACCCTGGGCACAACAGTGACCAGAGCAGCCCCACTGGGGAGGGACTGGAAAGATGCCACAGGCATGGACACCCACTCTAACATTTCCTTGTGCAAAGAGCATGCACTCAGACCAGCAGCCCTTGGTGGTGGAGCCTGAGACAGGCTGCAGGCAGGTGCTCTGACCAAGGTGAGGCCTGAGAGGGAGAGGGGAGAATAAGAGACGTGAGGCCCAGAGGAGTAAGAGCCTTGGTCAGGACCACTGCAGGGGCGTAGAGCAGACCTGAAGTAGAGTCCCTGCCCAGGAGGGGAGGCTGTTGGACTTGGTACCATCTGGAAAGGCTGCCTGGAGGAGGATTGGACTAGAGGCATAGGAACTGGTGGCAAGGGGCAGTAGGCATGCTGAGTCCCAGGGAGAGGGACACAGAATGGGCATCCTCAGGCTGCTTCCAGCAAAGCCTCCCCACAGAATAGGGGCTGCCCTGGCAGGGATGCATACCCTGTCCCTGGGACTGTGGGTGCCGAGCCCCCTTAAGGACTCTATAATGGAGATCATCAAATCCTTAGGATGAAAGCATCAGTGCCCGGAGTCTCCTTTTCCCCATTCTGAAAATGCAAGGAATAATAACATCTACCCAACAGGGTAGGCAGAAGGAAGAAATAATACATACTGCTCAGAATATTGCCTGGCATGGAGTAGAGCTCAGTCAACCTTTTTTACTGAGAATTGGGATCCATCTTGTCTGAAGAGTGGCTAAACCCTTCCACTGCCCCACACATGACCCTGGCCCTGACTTCGCTTGGGCTACCTCTTTTTCATCTATAGCAAGAGATAACAGTTGTTGGTCTCAGAGATGGTATGAAGCCCAACCAGGTGGCATGTTCAGAGTTGGCAGCTGGAATGGGGGTTGGCCTGGAGGCATAATCCTCTGCAAATGGGGGAGTTTATGGATTTTTTGAGTCCTTTTCAGGAGCACAACAGGGGATCCAAGAAATAAACAGATTTCCAGATCTGCCAGCAGCCATGAGGGTGGGAGAGGAGCAAGGGGTGCCTCTGGGAAGGTGGTAATTAAGATGCAGGGGGGGAGTGCTCCCTGCAGTCGGAGATGTGAGCAAAGACCTGGGAGAGTGGAGGTCCAAGGTGCTTTGGGGTAACAGCCAGCTGCCCTGGGTGGTGGTGGGGGCAGGTCTTGGAGGCCAGGAAGAAGGTGTGGAGAGGCCCTCTGGGCCCATGTGCCTGCAGGGCCTGAGGGGAACAAGGCACTGCTCACCCTCTGCCTTCTGCCCCCCCAGGATATGCGGAAGCACGTGACCATGACACTGCTGGACACGGAGCAGTCATACGTGGAGTCGCTGCGCACCCTGATGCAGGTGAGGCTTGAAGCTGGCCCAGCAGCTGTTCTGAGTCTAGGAGGCTTTCAGATATGCAGGAACAATGCATTTGTGGACAGGGGACCTGACCAGAGAGGAGAGGACCCTGGGACACATCACCCCACCGTAGGAAACCTGCCATGTGACTGCCACAGAGGAGGAAGCAGGGAAGAATGTGCAGGGGCCATAATGAGGCCCGATGGGCCACTCGGGCAGGTGCTCCCTTCTGCTGTCTTTCCTCCTCCCCTAGCAGCCTGGGTCTGAGCTTAGGTCTGTGAATCCCCTCTGGTGCACCACCCCCTCTTTTATTCATTGACTGGGAAAATATTTTTTGACTGAAATTAAATGCTGAGCACCTGCTGTGTACCAGGCCTTGTTCCAGGTCAGGAAATTCAGGGGTGAATAAGAGACAAGCCCCTGCCCCAGGAGCTCACAGTCCTATTGGGGACATAGATGAATATATGTGGGCCCTCTCAAAGCACCGAGGGGGCACCTGTTAGGTGCGGTGTCAGGGAATTTTCCCTGGAGGAGGTGCTGCCTTCCTCCTGATCTGGCGTCTCAGCAGCAGGTCAGCATGCGCAGAGGGTGAGGAGAAGTGAGGAGAGGCTGGGCCCTTTAGGACTTCTGTGTGGCCAGTGCCAAGCACAAGGGGTCGGTCCTGTGGTGACACCTGGGAGCCAGCAGGGGCCGCATAGGAAGGGCCTTGAATTCCAAGAGGAGGGGCCCTGGAGAGTCAATGGAGGGCTGTGATTGAGGGTGGTATGTAGCCTGACTGACTCATGCTTTAGAAGTCCGTCCGACTGCCGGGAAGGTGGGTAGCAGAAGAGGAGGCCAAGGCCACTGAGGTCAGGCAGGTGAGAGGAGGCCAGGACCAGGGCAGAGGCTGTAGGGAAGGGGAGCCTGGGGACAGGCATTTAGGAAGTGGACTGGTCAAGCCAGACATGGTAACCGGTTGGCTATGGGGGCAAGGTGGGAAATCCCAGGATGATGCGTAGGTGGTGGGGCCCTAGAGGAGCCCTGTCTGGAAATGGTAGGGTGAGGTGGTGCCCCCAGGTTCAGATATGTGGGCCTGGAAACACCCAGGCGCTAGATGCACTTGCAGGTCTGGGGCCCAGGATAGAAAGCATGGATCTGAGCTGAAGTGAGGCCAGGAGGGGTTTGCTCAAGTCACCTGGGTGGAGTGAGCAAAAAGTAGAAGGCAGAGCCCTGGAAACATCCAAAATAATCATTTATCCACTCCACAAATCTGCAACGAGCTCCTTCTGCACGCCAGACAATATTCTCTGGGGGGGTTCAGCAGTGAGCATGAGTGATGGGGTCCTGTGTCCTGGAGCTCACAGTCTGTGGCAGAGACTGGCTGTAACCAGTCAGACAGACCAACATGAGGACAAACGGCGATGCAAATGTGCACCAAGAGTGTACACTTGACAACAGAACATTGATCAGCCTTAAAAAGGAAGGACATTCTGACATATGCCACAATGTGGATGAACCTTGAAGATGTTCTGCTAAATGAAACGAGCCCGTCACAAGAGGATAAATGTTGTATGATCTCACTTACATGAGGTACCTAGAGTAGCCAAATTCATAGAGAAAGTAGGTGGGTGCCAGGGCTGGGGAAGTGGGGAGTTTGTGTTTAATGGTGGACAGTTTCAGTTTGGGAGGATGAAAATGTTCTGGAGATGGATGGCCGTGATGGTTTCATAACAGCGTGGATGTATTTAATGTGAGTATACTGAGCTGAACACTTAAAAAATGATTAAAGTGACAAATTTTGTATAGCTATTTTACCACAAAAAAATACATTGCTTTTATATATTTTAAAAAACGCACAAAGAGATGAGAACACAGAATGGGGGCCTCCCCCCGTGTCAGGGACCAGGGAGAGCTCTGAGGTTGGGATGTGTAACTGAGACCTGAAGCGTGGGTAGGTAAGCAGGGGCAGCGGGGAGTCCTCGCAGACACAGAGTATGGAGGGAGAGAGGCTGGGAGACTGGAGGGTGGGACAGGTGGGGACAGAGAGGGAGACGGTGGGGCTGTGGGGCAAGGAGCTGGCATTTACTGTGAGCACAGGGGAGTCACAGGAGGGGCGCAGCGAGAGCTCCATCTTTAAGAGATGGTCCTGGCTACTGAGCAGAACCGGATGTGCGGGGATCCCGGGCTCCTGTTGCCCCCTGGGTGGAGGCAAAGGCGCTGGGGTCAGGCAGTTCAGGTGAGGCACTTGCCTTCCTGCTGGGTGATGCTGTCCTCCTCACCTCACTTCTCTCAGCCTCCATGGTTTTGTCTGCAAAATGTAGCCAGTCATACTGTTCTTCTGGAAAACAATGATGAGAAAGAAAAGATGGTGAGGCCACCCCTGCCTCGTTCACAGACAGGAGGCAGGCAGGGTCTGGGTGTGTCTTTCTACCTCTGAATCTCCCAGCTGGGGAAGGACTACATGTGTGGAGGCTTGCAGGACCTGCGGGTACAAAGCTGATTCTGAGGAAGCCACACTGAGCATGTTGGGTGGAGATGGGCCAGAGAGTGTCAGCTGAGTCCAAGGAGTGTCATTCGGGGCAGCCCGAGTGTGCTGGGAGGACTGTAGTTATGGCCCAGGGGTCAAGAGCACAGCTTTGGAGCCAGCTGCTGGTATTCAAACATGACACTATTTTTTGACCAGCCAGTGACCTGGAGCAAGTTATATACCAGTTTGTGCCTCAGTTTCTCATCTGTAGAATGGGGGTAATAATAGTACCTGCCTTGAATGCAGATTATAAGAGAGATGCATATATCATTTAGCATTCTGCACGTGGGCCTGTGTGTGTGAGTACATACATATAAAACCACATTTGATCCTAGTATTAACCTTCCAGGGTAGATATTACAATCCCCTTCCTCATACGAGGAAGTTGAGGCTCAGAGAGGTAAGGAAACCTGCCCACCATCTAGTAAGTAGTATCCTGGTCTGTTTGGGCTGCTGTAACAAAAATTCCATAGACTGGGTCAATTACACAAATAGGAATTTATTTCTCATAGCTTTGGAGGCTCGGAAGTCCAAGATCAAGGTGCTGGCAGATTTGGTGTCCAGTGAGAACCCACTTCCTGGCTCATAGACAGCTGTCTTCTTGCTGTGTCCTCCTTGGTGGTGGGGCTGAGGGAGTGCCCTGGGGCCTCTCTTGTCAGGACACTAATCCCATTCATGAGGGCTCCACCTGCATAATCTACTCACCTCCCAAAGGCTTCACCTCCAAATGCCAGCAAATGGGGATTATGTTTCAACGTATGGATTTTGGGGGGACACAAACTAGTGGTCATACTAAGAGCTGACATTGAGTGCTTACTACATGCACTTTACATAAGTGAATTCATATAGACCTCACTTATAACCCCCATTTCACAGATGGTAAAAACGAGGTACAGAGCAGTAGGCAGCTTGTTCAAGGGCCCGGAACCAGGAATTGTATTCCTGTCAGTCTGCTCCCTCTCTCCCGCTGGTCTACACTGCCTGAAGTATAGGTGGTTTTCCAGCTGAAAGTGGGCTCCACAGCTCTGTTCGCTCCCAGTGACCACTACCACCTACACTGGTTTATTCCTGCGGGCCAGTTGTTAAATACCAAGGTTAACAGCCAGAAGGAGGTGGGATTTGAACCCAGGGACTAAGGCTGCACCCAATCCTCAGTGTCTGCCTCACCCTTTGAGTCATTGTTCAATCCCCAGATTCCCAGCTAACAAACCCCGCCTTTCCCTGACTGAGCCCCCTTGTCCTAGTGCTCCTGACCCTCTCTTTCCCCCACAGCACTTACTGCCTTCTAACGTACATTATTCATGGTGTTTATTTTCTGCCTCCCTCCGCCAAATTGTCAGCTTCACCCGCACAGGGAATTTGTCTGCCCACCATTCACCCGGTGCTTAGAGGCCAGGCGCAGTAGGTGTTCAGCGAGTATGTAGCAAGTAAGTGCAGGTGTTGGCTCCTAGCAGGTTCTGCACTGGGTTCTCAGGCACCATTTATTCTTTCCTCCCATGGGTGCCTGCTTCTCTGTGGGGCGCTGGGACACAGGGGTGAGCAGTTTAGCTTCTGCTCCTTGAAACAGACCCTGGCACAGAGAAGGCACTGGCTCAGCAGGCTCAACTGTGAGGAGGAGGCTGCCTGCCTGGCTCCTCACCATCACCCCCTGGCCTTTTCAGAAACCCAAACCAGGCGAGAGTATTGAGTTTTACTTCTTCAAGCTTGTTTTACAAAACAAGCCAGATTTTTTAAATGTTTAATATAAATGTTCCTGCAATGTTGGGTATACTTTGTCAGCCTGTTCTTCAGCTTGTAGTTACAGTTTGGGCCAGTAGAGGGCCGCCTCGCCATCAGCGCCCTGGGTGCGAAGCAGGGCTGTTTATGCTCAGGACACACTACTGACTGAAGATTGTAGGTGGAAAATAGCTTTAATCAAAGATTGACCAGCAAATCTGAAAAGTGTGAAGACAGTTTTTGGCCTCCCCTGCCCCTCCCTGATTTATTTTCCCCACAGTTGTTTTCATCTTTTAATTTACCACAGGATTGCCATGATTCTTTTAAGTGTATTTTTTTTTGTAGTTGATATACAATATTGTGTTGGTTTCAACTATACAGCACAGTGCTTCAACAGTTACAAACATTATTAAATCCTAACCCCCATAGTGCAGATACTATCTGTCAACATAGGAGGATGTTACAGAATCATTGACTATATTCTCCATGCTGTACTTCCATCCCCGTGACCAACTTTATATACTGATTGAGAATTTTTGTGCCCCTTTGTCCCCTTCACCCACCCCATCCACCCACCCCTCTGCTTCCCCTTGGTAACCCAGTCACTTCTCAGCGTCTCTTAGTCCACTGCTGTTCTGTTCATTTGGTTTTGTTTTGTTTTCAGATTCCACATATAAGCAAAATCATACGGTATTTGTCTTTCTCCACCTGGCTTATTTCACTTTACATGATACCCTCTAGGTCCATCCATTCTGTTGCAATTGGCAGCATTTCCTTCTTTTTCATGGCTGAATAGTATTTCGTTGTGTCTATGCACCTCATCTCTGTATCCATTCATTTATTGTTGGGCACTTTGGTTGCTTCCATATCCCACAACCTAAGACACCTTGTTCTAACATCTCTGAGATCCAGATCCATCATATAACTGATGACATAATCACTTAATTGGCAGCAAGTTTTACCTCCTAAAGAAAAATAATCTGCATCTTAGATTTGATGAAATGAGGTTTATTTTTATTTATTTCTCTTATTTATGTGTTTGATCTGACTAAATTGTAAGCTCTACCAGGGCAGGGATTTGGGTCTGTCTTGTTCACTGCTGCCTCCCAGTTCTTAGTGCCTGGCACATCATGAGAGCTCAGTAAAATACTCACTGAATTAGTGTGTGTACGTCTCCCAGGAGCCCACCCTTGCTTTCCTCACTCCAAGCTCTGTTTGCTCACACATCAACAAGCCTTTCCCAATTCCCCTCACCCCATCTTGTGCCAGGCCCTGGGCTCTGCAATAAAGGGCATAGGGATAGGTCTTCCCATCTCCTTCCTAGAACCCTGAGTCTAACAGGGGAGGCCAGGAGGCATGGCCACTGAGCTGTGGGCCTGGGAGATTCGTGTGTACACACATGCCGGTGGGTTGGGGTGCCGTCTCTCCAAGGGGACCTGCGCTGACCCCATGGTCCCCGCAGGGGTACATGCAGCCGCTGAAGCAGCCAGAGAACTCCTTGCTGTGTGACCCATCGCTTGTCGATGAGATCTTTGACCAGATCCCCGAGCTGCTGGAACACCATGAGCAGTTCCTGGAGCAGGTGCGGCACTGTGTGCAGACCTGGCATGCCCAGCAGAAGGTGGGAGACCTGCTTGTCCAGTCGGTGAGTAACCCTCCTGCCTACTGCTGCTGCCCCCACAAGTTTGGGCCCCTCCTGGAAAGGGCTGGCTGCAGCCGTGTACCCCTCACCCCATCCACCTCACTTCTGCTGGACAGATTCTGATCCCAGATCCAACTCCAGAACTTGAGCAGACACTGGCACTGACCCCAACCCCGGGGTTGACCTGAGCCTGGACTCTGTCCAGCTTGGCTGGACTCTGGCTCTGACCCCAACCCTACCAGACACTGACCCTAATCCTGGACCCAACTCCAGTTGCTGGCACTGACCTGACCCTAGTCCTGACCCTGAGCTGTTGCTGACCCTCACATGGCCTCTAGCTGGCCTCTGGCTCCCCTTCGTCCCCCTGAGGCCAGACCTCAGGTGGATGCTGGTACTGACCTCAGCCCCTACCTTGACTAGCTCTTTTCTCCATCAGGCATTTTAAAAAGCTGTTGGTTATGTGCTAGACATCACTCTAAATACATCGTATGTCTCAACAACTCTAGAAGGAAGTTGTGGTTATGCCTGAGTTTAAAATTGGTGACTGCAGCATAGAAAGAGTAACCTGATCAAAGCCTTGGTCAGTAAGTGGTGGAGGATTCAACCCCAGCAGGTCAGCTCCAGTGCCCATGGTCCACCCAGTGGTCCTCCCTCTGCACCACCCAGCCTTGGCCTGTGACCTTACAAGACATACTGAGTTTTGCTGTAAAAACAAAACTAATAAACATTTCATTAAATGACTATGGGAACATATCATGCCATTTTTCTCTCATTGTTAAATCTAGTATTCATTTTTAAAAATGTAATTACATTTGAAAAAACTTAAGTTACATTTTGTTATTTTGCCAAATTCCTAAGAATATATGATGATGCTAAATCATAACCAAACACAAACTAAATGGTTACTCAGAGCCAAATTATTTATTTATTTAATTTTTAAAAATTAAGGTATCATTGGTATATAATCTTATGAAAGTTTCACATGAGCAACATTGTGGTTTCAACATTCACCCATATTATCAAGTCTCCCCCACACCCCATTGCAGTCACTGTCCATCAGCGCAGTAAGATGCTAGAGTCATTACTTGTCTTCTCCGTCAGAGCCAAATAATTTCAAAAGCAAAACTGTAAAAATTATTCTAAAAATTGTACTGACAAAAAAAAAATCATACCTATCTATGTGGGATGTAGGTGTGTTTTCATGTGTTGGTGATGATGTCGGTGGGCCTTGGGCCTAAGAAGGTCTTAGAAGGTCTCTTGCTGAGCTGGAAACAATATGCGAACCTTGGCGTGGAGGTGATGGGACTCCGGCCTGAGTGCTGACATCCTCAGGCTGTCACCACCCTCAGTGTCCCAGGGCTCCACCCCTGCCTGGACCTCGACACTGACCATGGGCTGCAGTGGAAGCTGGCCCCCAGCGAGGCGTCAGCATAGGGTGCAGTGTCCCAGGATGGGGGGAGCTGGGGGCGGGCTGTCTTCTTCCCTGAGCTGCTTCCACCTGTGCCCTGGGGTGCACCTGGGGCGGGGGAGGGACAATTGGTGCCTTAGAGACACAGGAGCTTGGAGGCCTGGAGGCAGCCAGAAGCAGAACCACGGGTCACCTAGTCCATTCACGGTGTCACTGGGACAGGAACCAGGGTGTCCCAACTGCAGCCAGGGCTTCTAACTGAGAATTTCCATGTTTAGTCCAGCTATCAGCTGGCCAGCGGGTATCAGCCGCCTACTGTGTACCCTGCCCAGAGCCTGGGAGCACCTGTGGTCTTAGAGACTTGTCCTGGGGGATGAAGGGGAGCTAGAGGCCAGGAAGAGCTCCAGGAACTAGAGTTCCCGTAGGTAATAGGAAGAGTCCTAGTCAAGGCAGGGAGTGCCTCCCGGAGGAGGCAGAACTGGAGCTGGGCCATGAGGGTGAGTGAGATTTGTGGTGGGGTCGGAGGGCGGGGTGGGGGGGGCGAGGGGGCTGTCCTGGTGGAGGGAATTACATGACTGAGGGAATTACTCAGAGGACAGTGAGGAGGTAGAATAGGAGCTGGGCCTTGAGGGTGGGTGAAATTTGTGGCAGTGGGGTTGTGGCGAGGGGAGACTTCTTGAGGTTGGACACCGAGGGATGGAAATGCCCACTTGGAGGTGAGAGGGCCTGGTGTGAGCTCACAGGACATATCCAGGCACATAAGTGTACATGTACACACAAGCACATGCAAATAAGATCCATCTGTGTGCACATGCACACACCTAATCACACGGGAGCACATGCCCGATCCCTGAGAGACCATACCGTTTCCAGTAGGAGGCAGCGATGTTGGCTGGTGAGTCAGTGGAAACCAGGACAGGGTGGGGCAGGGTAGAGGACCCTTTGAGGGTCCCCAACCTGCCTCTCCACCCACAGTTCTCCAAGGATGTCCTGGTCAACATCTATTCTGCCTACATTGATAACTTTCTCAATGCCAAGGACGCCGTGCGTGTGGCTAAGGAGGCGAGGCCTGCTTTTCTCAAGTTCCTGGAGGTACTGTGGCTAAGGTGGGGGGTGGAGACCACCTTCACCTTGGGCAAGCTTTGGGGACCCCAGGAGCTCCTAGTCTGAGCACCACAGCCATCCCCTGTGGCCAGCCTCTGTCCTCAGGCTGAGCTGGAGGGCCTTGCTGGGGACCCACCCCTGGACATCCCTTTCTTGCATGTTATTCCTCACATGGGTGTCCACCCGCCCTTTTGGGTTTTAGCAAAGCATGCGTGAGAACAAGGAGAAGCAGGCACTATCGGACCTCATGATTAAGCCTGTGCAGCGGATACCACGCTACGAGCTTCTGGTGAAGGTAGGCATGGGGCTGGGTGGGCTGAAAGACAAGGCCTGGAGGCATGTGGGGATGCACGGGGCTCTGAGGCCCTCACCTGGTCAAGCCTGGCGTTAGGGTCCCCAGGGGTCAGGTAGAAACAGAAGTCCTCTTTGGAGTCCACTCACAGTCCCTCCTGTTCCAGCAGTTCAGTGTAGGGCCCCAGCGACTGGCAGGGGCAGCTAACCAGAGGTCTGATCCCCATTCCCACCCCAGGACCTCCTGAAGCACACGCCTGAGGACCACCCAGACCACCCACTCCTGCTGGATGCACAGCGGAACATCAAGCAGGTGGCTGAACGCATCAACAAGGGTGTGCGGAGTGCCGAGGAGGCAGAGCGACGTGCCCGCGTGCTGCAGGAGATTGAGGCTCACATTGAGGGCATGGAGGATGTGAGTGCCCCCCCACCCAGCTTGTGTCCACATCTGCAGCCACCTGGAATCATGGCTGTGTCCACATTCACAGTGGTGTCTGCACTGCGTTTGCGTCCGGCATCTACCAGCACCTCCAGCCGTCTGTCTGCGTCCGTGTTCTCCCTGTCTATCCCTGGCCCGTATCTGCCCCTGACAGCACAGCGTCGGGAGGGATGTTGCTCCACTAGCCTGGCCTGGGGAGTGGGGCAAGGGGTCACCAGGCCTGGGAGGGGACGGGATTAATAATTAGCCTTTAAGGTGCCTAGTCCCTCCTGCCCCACAGCTCCAGGCCCCTCTGCGGCGGTTCCTGAGACAGGAGATGGTCATTGAAGTGGTAAGAAGTGCCCGGTGTCTGCCCACCTGCCCCACCTCCCCACTTAGTTCACACACCTCTGCTCATACCTTCTGCCCATCAGGCTCCCTGCTCCTCCACCCCCACAGGAGCCCAGAGTCGAGTCCCAATTCTGCCTCTGCCTCTGGGCTTCTGGGAAGGAGCCCTCACCCACCCTGGCTCTCCCCTCCGGCACTGCGGGCAGGAGGGCGGGCCTCTGGGCCTAAATGCTGCCTCGGGCTCCACAGAAGGCAGTTGGTGGCAAGAAGGACCGGTCCCTCTTCCTGTTCACCGACCTCATCGTCTGCACCACGCTGAAGCGGAAGTCGGGCTCCTTGCGGCGCAGCTCCATGAGCCTGTGAGGGGCCGGGCAGGGCTAGGGGGCCGGGCAGTGGGGAGCAGTTGTTCGTCCCTGGGCCCCACACCCCTGCCCGGGCCAGAGCACCCTCCTGGCTCCCCACAGGTACACGGCGGCCAGCGTCATTGACACAGCTAGCAAGTACAAGCTGCTCTGGAAGCTGCCGCTGGAAGACGCAGACATCATCAAAGGTAGGGCTGGCTCAGGCCTGCCAGGGGTTCTAGGGTCAGGGTCTTCCTCCGAGAAGCCCTCCTGGAGGCTTTGAGCTGTGGCCAGGCTGGCTGCATATCCATCTGCGTTTTTGTTTTGGGTCCTCACTGTCCCGCCCAGTACATAGGGGATGGCTTGCAGAATCTGGTTTGCCCTCACAGAGCCAGAGCAGGACCTGTCCATGCAGACACCTCCTCCCAGGGTAGGCACCTAGCCTATGGTGGCAGGCGGGACTGGGCTGGGGAGTGCAGGGAGCAAAGGTGTTCCAGCAATGAGCCACTGAGTCACCTCACCGCAGACTCATTCCAGCGCCTCCTGTTGGAGGACGGCTCCTGTTGTGGTCCAGTGGCTTGTGCTCACAGGGAACGGACACATAGGTCTGTGCAAGGCAGAAGTCTGCTTGGAAAGATCTGAGTTGTTCAGGGCTGAGACTGTCAGGAGCTGAGGTGGCTTCAAAGAGCTGCTCTTCCTGCTGTGTGTCTGTCTGTCTGTCACTCTCTGGCCCTCCTGTCTCTGTGTCAGCCTGATTGCACTGTTCTCAGCTTTCTCTGCTCCCTCATAATTCCCATGATCTGTCATGGCCTTCTCTGCATCACGGCCTTTGTCCCTAGATGCCCCAGGACCCGCATTCACCTTCCCAAGTGGGGTGGCTCGTCTGGGATTGTCGTGTGGGCACTGTGGGGCCAGCAGGCAGTTCAGGCCCAGCCTCTGTCCCCAGGCTCACCTGAGTTGGACCCAAGGGTGAGGAAGGGGCTCTCTCGTCCCCAGGGTGGCCCAGGCCTGCCCCACATGGGCCCCTGTATAGGAAGACGAGCTGCTTACTGGTCCAGTTCTTCTCATCTCACTAGAGGACAGGCCGGTTGACAAAATGACTACCTTTAGGTCAGGTGTCCACTCCTGGTCTAATCAGCTACAGCCAGAGTGGGGCAGGTTCATGTGGGAGAAAATGAGGCTGCCCAGGCAGAGAGCATTGTGAGCGGACAGTTTCCCTCTGAAGGTGTGTATGATACCACAGGCCCTGGCTTTCCTAGTATACTTACTGCAGTTTGTCTGCCCATCCATGGGCCGCTGCTCCAGGGTGTACATCCCCAGCCAGGCAGTCCAGAGTGTGGGAGATGCTGAGCTGGGCATCTGCCAAGGGGTGCAGCTACTTGGCTGTGGTCAGGTACAGGACAGGACAGAGAAATCCAGGGCACCAGCCTATTACTCCCTTGTCCTGGGGGGAATTGAGTCCCTTGGTCAGCAGGTTTGACTGCCTGAGGCTCTTGCCTGCCTGGCTGACTCCCCTGGGGGAGGCCACGCCATTGGAGCGGCCTGGTGTCAGCTGGAGCCTGCAAAAGCCACAGAGCTGTGTGCTCTGTTCTCTGTGCTCGTCCAGGGTGATCTGCACTGGACCAATACCCTTTGCTAGGTGGTTCTGAGTCTAGCCCAGTCCCCGCTCTCAGGCCTGGGGTTTCTCTGTGAGCTGCCTGGTGACTTTGTCCAGGCCTTGGGTTTACAAGCTGGTAGTTTGTCAGGCTCCTCCCGTACCCGTCTGCAGGCTGTGAGGGGCGGGGAAGGGCGTCTGTCTCTGGAGCTGCCCGTGCCTTCCTCTGTCCCCTCCAGGGGCATCCCAAGCCACCAATCGGGAGAACATCCAGAAGGCTATCAGCCACCTAGACGAGGACCTGACCACCCTGGGCCAAATGAGCAAGCTGTCCGAGAGCCTCGGTTTCCCTCACCAGGTCCGCACCCCAGGCCCGAGGTGGGAATGGGGCAGTGGGGATTCCCTACCTCTATCTGAGGAGAGACAACAGCCTTCCATTTGCCTGAGCGAGAGGATATCCCTGTCACTCACTTCAGGGCAGAAATACAGCTTCACCCCGTCTGAGGGAAGTAATTTGTTCCAGGCCTGAGGGTACAGACACAGTTCCATCTCCAGCTGAGGGAGGAGAGACATTTTGTCTATGAGGGGGGTCGGTGGGGGGACCAGGGCTACCTCTTGGTCTAAGTGGGGAGACAGTCCTATTTTCAGTCTGAGGGGAGAAGCAGGTCCCCATTCCCATCCCCAGGGCAAGAGCAGACTGGGGAGATGTGCGGCCCTGACACCCCCTCCCTGCAGAGCCTGGACGACGCACTGCGGGACCTGTCTGCTGCCATGCATCGGGACCTGTCGGAGAAGCAGGCGCTGTGCTATGCGCTTTCCTTCCCCCCTACCAAGCTGGAGCTGTGCACCACACGGCCTGAGGGCACCGACTCCTTCATCTTTGAGTTCCCCCACCCTGACGCCCGCCTTGGCTTTGAGCAGGCCTTTGACGAGGCCAAGAGGAAGCTGGGTGAGCCAGGGCCTATGCTGGCGGTGTCCTCCCAGAACATCCAAGTAGTAGGAAGTGGGTGGCACCTGGCATCTGTCTGTGATATTATGGGCCAGAAATCCTGAGACTGGCATGTCCTATGCTCAGTCCCTGCTGGTGGGAAGGTGGGCTGACTTCTGCAAAAAAAATGTAGGACTTCCCCAGAGCCTCCCTGCCAGGGAAGGAATTCCATGAATTGGGTCAGCTTTGGGGGCTGGGTCCCTATCATGAGAATGGATAGCCAGGACTCCCCACACCCCTTCCCATATACTCTGAGCAGGCCTGGATCAAGGAAAGCTATGGATCAGGGTCCATGGCATAAAGATCCTCAGAGACTCTGAGTCTACCTCCCACATTGTACAGATGGGAAAATTTAGGCCAGGGACAAGCAAGGGTCAACCCACAGCCACCTTACTCTCCCCTCAAGAAACCCTGAGGGGCAGGGGAGGAAAGGAAATGGGCAAGGTCAGACCAGGATGAGGCAGATACTAAGCAGTGTCTGTCTGTCCATCCATCTGCACTACAGCATCCAGCAAAAGCTGTCTAGACCCTGAGTTCCTGAAGGCCATTCCCATCATGAAAACCCGCAGCGGCATGCAGGTATATATGCACCTGGGTCAGCTGGCACCTGGCCATGTGTGTCTGTTTTATCTGCATTGTGCAGTTGCTCCCTGTGTCTGAGTGTATGGCTCTGTGCATATGGACGCATGTATATGGGTGTGTTCATGCATGTCTATATCTGTGCATGTGAACAAAAGGAGACTAACTTATGTGCTTGTATGAGTGCGTACTCATGGACAAAGGTTACCACCTTTTCACATTGGTTACATGCATATACATGTGATCATATTTGGGATATATACATGTGTATGTATATATGTGTACATATATATATGAATGGGTGATAACTATCACACAGGCATGTGTGCATCTGATGTGTAGAATGTTACATGTGCTGTGTTTATGTGTATACAGGTAAGCAGAGAGGTGTTTTTGGAATACACACGTACTCATGTAGGCCTGCCTCCATTCTGTTGACTGGCCTGAAAAGTGGTGGGATTTGGCAGCAATTCCTTCCATTCACCTTCCTGTGTCCGTTGGCACCTTCCACAGTTCTCATGTGCAGCCCCAACCCTGAGCAGCTGCCCCGAGCCCATGCCCGAGGTGTGGGTGTGCAACAGCGATGGCTACGTGGGCCAGGTGTGCCTGCTGAGCCTGCGAGCTGAGCCCGACGTGGAGGCCTGCATCGCTGTCTGCTCTGCGCGTATCCTCTGCATTGGGGCCGTGCCTGGCCTGCAGCGCCATAGCCTCCGGTGAGACACAGCGGGACAGAGTCCTTGCCCACAGCACACGGAGGCCACCTCAACTGGTGGTCATGCAGGTGAGTGGGACCAAGCCTTGCTCCTAGCAGCTCTTGCTCCTGCCCTTGTCTCACAGGGAGCCACCTGCATTGCTGAGGAGCCCTCCGGAGGTGGCATCTGTGCCCACCGGGCCAGAACTGGACATTGAGACCCCAGAGGAGGAAGCAGCCACACTGCCAGAGCCAGGGCCCCAACCCTGCCTGCACATCTCCATCGCAGGCTCAGGCCTGGAGGGAGCACCAGGCCCTCTGGAGGCTGACCCTTGCCCAGAATTGGTGCCCTTTGACAGCGACTCAGATGATGAGTCTTCGCCCAGCCCCTCAGGGACCCTGCAGAGCCAGGCCAGCCGGTCCACCATCTCCTCCAGCTTCGGCAGTGAGTGCCCGGCTTGGGCTGTCAGGGTGGACTGCCCAGAGGAGGGGGCAGCCCCACAGGTGATCTTGCATGAAGAGGACTAGTGTAGTTGGTGGTGTGGGACCAAGTCACAGAGAGGGAGGCAGCCATCAAGGTGGGCAGGAGCTGTGACACCAAGGGTCCGGAGGGCAGTGGGGCTGGTTGGATCGCCCGGTAGGGGAGATGGAGTCGGCGTGGATCATTTGGTCTCCATGCTCTGGCTCTGGACTGGAAGGGCCAGGTGGGGACTAGAGCCTGTAGCACAGAGCTGTCAGGGGGCAAAGTGACAAGATGAGCTGAGGCAGAGGCCGCGGGGATGGAGAGAGCAGGTGTGGAAGGCCCTTGGGAGGGATGTGGCCGGGAGAGAGACACTGAGGGGAGGCTGAGACCTAGAAAGATACCAGGGCTTGGGTGGAGGGGGATGGGGATAGCAACCTTTGTCTCCCCCAGATGAGGAGAACCCGAGCTCCAAGGAGGTGACAGCAGAGACGACCAGCTCAGAGGAGGAGCAGGAGCCTGGCTTCCTGCCGCTGTCCGGCTCCTTTGGGCCTGGTGGTCCCTGTGGCGCTGGCCCGGTGGACGGGAGAGCCCTTCGCCGTTCCAGCCGCAGCTCCTTCACCCGGGGCAGCCTCGAGGACCTGCTGAGTGTTGACCCTGAGGCCCACCAGAGCTCCGTGTGGCTGGGCACCGAGGACGGCTGGTAGGGACCAGGACGGGGCCGGGACACAGTGCCAGAGCCCTTAACTCCCTGCTTGGGCAGTCATGTGCTCTCCTGAAGCAGAAGCAGTGGGGCGTTGGGTCAGACCTCAGGGGCACTGCCAGCCGGGGCTGCCTCTGGGTCTGAAAGCCCAGGGAGGCTGTGGGAGCGCAGCACCTCGGGTAGGCACCAGCATGGAGGAGGTGCTGGTGGCGGCAGAGGTGAACAGATTGCTTCGGGGACTGGTGTGGCCCAGCATCTGTCACAGGTGTTCACCCCTGATCCACAGTGTCCATGTGTACCAGTCCTCTGATAGCATCCGAGATCGCAGGAACAGCATGAAGCTCCAGCACGCCGCCTCTGTGACCTGCATCCTGTAAGGCCGTGGTGACCCTTCCAGTGCAGACCTGTTACACACACAGGCCTCCCTCTGTTCACCTGGGTCCCCCTGTTCTGCTGGCCCCTCCTTTCTGTGGAGGCTAGAGGCCCGAGCTAGTCCTAGGTTAGCTGTGCCTCTCAGACACTGTGACATGGGCTAGTCCCCACCCCGTCCTAGACTTGGGCCTGGCGAGATGTTCGCTCAGGACCTATAGCCATTCTATCTGATTCCCTTGGCCCCAGTGACCTTCTGTCGCCTCCTAAAACCCGTGACTACTTATTTTCCCTCCTTAGGTACCTGAATAACCAGGTCTTTGTGTCCCTGGCCAATGGAGAGCTTGTGGTCTACCAGAGAGAGGCCGGTGAGCGCCCACCCCTCCCCCAAGCCCCGGGAGCCCCCGGCTGGTGCAGGAGCTCTCTGCTGAGCAAGACCGCACCCTCAGGGCCACAGACGCTAGAGATACGGCTTTGGGCAACGCCCAGGCCTTCTCTGAGCCCTTGTCCTCATTTATAAATGTGGTTGTTCTCACTTTACTTAAGGGAATGGTGAGGCTCAAATGCAATACTGGACCAAATTTGCTGTTTTCTTTACCCCACTCCCACTTCAGGCCATTTCTGGGAACCCCAGAACTCCAAGTCAGTGACTCTGGGTGCTCAGGGGAGCCCCATCACCAAGATGGTGTCCGTGGGTGGGCGGCTGTGGTGTGGCTGCCAGAACCGAGTCCTTGTCCTCAGCCCTGACACGCTGCAGCTGGAGGTAGCGGCGGGCCTGGGGGCGGAATTGGTGGCCTGGGGTGAGCCTGGCCCATGAGGAAGGGAGATGAGACCACGGGGACCATAAGAAAGCCTCACTGCAGCTGTCCAGGGAGGGCCAGTGACTGTTCTTAAAGCACTTCGAGCTCAGAAATTCTCCTATCGTTAAATCATGCAAGTTTCATGGGGAAAGGGCTCCGTTTTAGTTCCTGAGGATTAAATTGGGGGGCTTCTGTGAAATCCAGCTTGGACAAGCAGATCATCTGGCCCAAGGGGCAAGGCTGCCTGTCAGTCTGGATGGGCTTTCTGGAGAGGTTGTGTGTGAGTTGTAAGGAGGGAGGGTGTGAAGCATAAGGCAGGGATGGGCCGGGGAGGGGCCAGGGAGGACAGGCCTGACACTTACCCATCTGCTCTCTACCTGCCCCCATCAGCACACGTTCTCCGTGGGGCAGGATTCCAGCCGCAGCGTGGCTTGCATGGTGGACTCCAGCCTGGGTGTGTGGGTGACACTGAAAGGCAGTGCGCACGTATGTCTCTACCATCCAGACACCTTTGAGCAGCTGGCAGAAGTGGACGTCACACCCCCTGTGCACAGGATGCTGGCAGGTAATGCCCTTAGCCTCGCACTACCCTTCCCCTTGGAACCTTTCTGCCTCACCACTGAGGAGACTTTCCCGGGCCAGGGATTGGCCTCAGCTCTGGTCTGCCCCCCAACCCCAGGCTCGGATGCCATCATCAGGCAGCACAAGGCTGCCTGCCTGAGGATCACGGCCTTGCTGGTGTGTGAGGAGCTGCTGTGGGTGGGCACCAGTGCTGGTGTCGTGCTCACCATGCCCACCTCGCCTGGTGCCGTCAGCTGCCCACGAGCACCCCTCAGTCCAGCTGGCCTAGGCCAGGGACACACAGGCCATGTCCGCTTCTTGGCTGCAGTCCAGCTGCCAGATGGCTTCAACCTGCTCTGCCCAACCCCACCATCTCCACCAGATACAGGTGGGTCTGTGCATCCAACCCAACCCAGGGCTCCTGGTCTTCTGGTTTAGGACTCCCACTGTCCTGCCGGAAGAGGCTTAAGGGGGAGGGAAAATGTCATACAGAGCTGGAAGTGGCAAATACTGTTACAGTGGTATGTGTGTGTGCATGTGTGAAATTCTGTCACAAGAAGAGTGGTGGTAGATGGAGTAAACTGTAAGCTAAGAATTAGAATACAGCACAGGCAGGGATGTGTACAACAGGAAATAAAACAGGACTAGAAATAATATAGGGCTGAAGTGGAGTCTGGAAGTGATGTGCAGAGCAGTAAGTAGAAATAGCACTGGGAGGCAGAACACAGAATGGCAGCTAAGGCAGAAAGTGGGCTGTGGGAATTAGAAAATAAAATGTATTAGGAGATGATGTACATCAAGGAGGCCACAATTAACAGAGTCTTGCTTTGGCCAGGCAAGAAACTGTATTCCTGAGAAGAAGTGGACGTGGGAGTCAGGAAGCAGGGGAGCCGGGTCAGGGGCTGCCTGGGTCCAGGGAAGGCAGAAGCTGCCTAACTGGGAAAGGGCTGTTGGAAGCGGGACAAGGAGGAAGGACAGTGTGCGCTTATCAAGAGAGAGAACGTGGGGTGGCCCTGGGCGGTGGTGTCACTCCTGATTATGAAGTGTGGATGGGAGATAAGAAGTTGTCTGACTGCCAGGAGGTGGGCATTTCTTTCCAAATTGGAAGTTCTTGGCTAAGAGGAGGTGGGATTCTCTACAGGAAGTGTGCATGTCTTTCTTGCTGTCTGCTGGGGTATGGGCACTGAGGGGACAGCACAGTCACCCCCAGGCTAATGGATCCTCGCCCTGCTCCCCAGGCCCCGAGAAGCTGCCATCCCTGGATCACCGGGACTCCCCCAGGCACCGAGGACCCGCCTTGGCCAGGCCTAAAATGCTGGTTATCAGCGGAGGTGACGGCTATGAGGACTTCCGGCTCAGCAGCGGGGGCGGCAGCAGCGACACAGTGGGCCGAGATGACAGCACAAACCACCTCCTCCTATGGAGGGTGTGACCCTGTCCCCTGCCACCCGGGACTTGCCCGTCCACCCGCCCTCCGCCTGCTTGCCTCTTCCTAGCCCCCACGCAGACTCTGACCAGCAGTGCTCCCTCCCTTCCTCGCGGAAGCATCCCTGAGAGAACACTACCGGCAGGCCCAGGCCTTCCCTGCCCCTGTGGCTGCTCTGCTGCTCCCTGTCATGGTCGGGGGCAGACTTGGGGGTGTGTGGGCCGCCCAGGACCTTTGTCCCTGGAGCTTCTACCAAAGACAGGGCCGGGCCTGGACCCCGGGGGGCTGGGGAGGGCCAAGTGCAATATTTAGAGGGTTTTCTGGGGGCAGTGGGAGGGCTGGGGATGGAACCCTTTCCCATGTACAGTATTTATGTTCCTTTTTAGATGTGTACCTTCCCAAGCACTTATTTATGCAATGACCTGGGGGCAGGGGGTGATTTGAAGAAGTAACAGAAGGAAAAAGACCCTATTCCTGCCCTGGGGGATACGTGGGGACCCTAACCAAGCCTTCCTGGAGGGAACAATCCCCCTGTCATTACATACATGTGTATGCACGCATGTGCACACACATGCTGCATGTCCAGGGCACTAAAACACTGCCTCTACACATACGATTTCCACAGCCTCATCCTGCTTGGTCTGCCCTCTAGTGACCAGAGCCAAGGACTGATTGAGTCCCCTCAGTCATCCAGAATAAGTTGGTGACTAGTGGGGGGCTTCCCAGGCCTTGGCATTTCCTAGCTTGTCGGCAGTGCCTTAGTGGTTCCTGAACTTGGAAACACTGCTGGGACCTTGAACGGGGCTCTCTCCTGACCTGATCAGGGGAGAGCAAAGGGCTTCGATCTCCTCAAAGTTGCCGCCCAGGCCCCAGCCCGTGTCTCATGCACCAGCACGTATGGTCACCTTGGGAGGGTGGATCTCAGAGCCCCTCACTCTGACCACTGACTCCCTCTCTTCACACCCCTCTGGCCAGGGGCAGCCCTTCCAGGAAGGACACCCAAAGCTGAGGGGCTGGGCATAGCCTCTTCAACTAGGAACCACTTCCAGGCAGCCTCTCCCCTGCCCCATGGCCACCAGAGCCAGACCTAACCCCAGCCCGTTGCTGCTTCAGCTCCTGCTCCAAAGATCTGGTTTCAGATGGGGTTGGTTTTGTTCTGTTTGGCTGTTTTTGTTTCTGGTGGGTGGGTCATTGTGGTCTTAGGTTACATTTCTCTTGGTACCAAACAGTCCTGTATTAACTTCCCTTGGATGATAAATTTTAAAAGAATCAATAAATACAAACACCAAATGACTGCTCCCCATCGGCAGCCGTGGTCGCCTCCTGCCAGCAACCTCAGGGACACCCACTCGGGCAGAAGGGAGACCTTGGAGACCCCAAGGAGTGCTGGCGTGGTGAGGCTGCTGCTTGCTGTGTTCTGGGCAGGTCACGGCTCCTGTCTGGGCTGCAGTTTTCTCATCAGAAAAACAAGGGCTGTGCTAGTCCAGTGCTTTGTAACCCGGGCTGTGTGTGAGACTCCTTAGAGATTATATGCATAAATATAAATCAAAATACATGAATTGTATAGTCCCGTAAATACACATTCCCAGGCTACCCTCAGCTTTTCAGTCAGTGGGTCTGGGATAGGGCTTGGCAATCTGAAGTTAATACATGCTGCTAGTCAAACACTAGGCAACTAGTGAGCCTGGCTACAGCTCCTCCAAGAAACTTCTGCAGCAAAGTTTGGTGAGGCTGGGGAGTCTGACAGAGGCCAAGGTGAGTTCAGGTTTGGAGCAGGGGTAGAATTCAAGTCTGGTTTCTGGCCCAAAGAGGTGTGTCATTAAATCAGACACGACTGCAAACGCAAACACCACAGGAGCAGTCTGCACAGGGCAGCCCTTCCCACCAAGGAAGGGCTCAGGTGACCACTAGAGAGGCCGCTGATGTCTGACCTTTGCTCAACACGTGTTTGAGCATTCTCCAACCTGAATGATTAAGACTACAAAAAGATGCTAAAGGGGGAATGCAGGCTCACACTTTGTAAACTGGCAGACACACGTTTCAGGGGTCTGCTGGGCCTTCAGCACCATAAGACATGCGTGGAACAACTGTCTGCTGCATTAGTTTGCTTGTAAGATCTGGGGAGTATGGGATTAGATTAAATTTATATTACAGAGCAGGAGGCAATGTTCATCTGGAATTTATGATAAAACAAAGCATTAGAAGGTGCACAGGCTTTGAGGCTGAACAGAAATCTTGATTTTGCTGCCACTGCCTAGCTCTGACTGGATGAGTTCTATCCCCACTGAGCCTCCATTTCCTTATCTGTAAAGTGAAGCTGATAATCCCTTCCCCTCACAGGACTGTTGTTTGGTGTGCACAGGTGTTTGCATTACAAGGAAGAGATTCGTTCTGCTCAGAAATAAAAGGGGGTCTAATTAGCAGAGGCATAAACTGGCGGCATAGTGGCCCAGATACTGGAGCTCCATCTCAGGACCTCTGACCTCTCCACCTTGAATGCCTGCTTCCTCCCTTGCCTCCAGACAGCTGCTGTTCTGCCGCACTGGGGCCTCTTTTTCCTCAACAAAGGGGCTCTGGACAGACCTCAGGTTCAGCACTGGATACCCAAGGCCAGATCCTCGGCATTTTTCCAGCTCGGGTGCTGCAGTAAGAATGGGCCTGGCCCTGCTCACTGTTACTTAGGAGGACACATCCCAGGGTCTTGGCCAGCCTAGAGACTGATGCACAGTCCTGAGCTAGTCAGCTGTGGGCGGGGAGGTCTTGAGATAAATGGTTGTCAAGCCTCAGGCCCAGGGGAGCCCCTAAGAAGGATTAGTTCCTTTAAAGTGGTTCTTAACAGTTGGCTGCACATTATAATCACCTAAGGGGCCCAGGCCACATCGCAGACCAATTAAATGAGAATTCTGAGGGTGGGACCCTTGTATCTTTTTTTTTTTAGGAGAATTTTTATTGAAGTATAATGTTTGTACAGACAAGTACACAAGTTGTTAGCATGCAGCTTGATGAATTTTCATAAGGTAAACACACCCAGATCAAGAGACAACATTTCATCCTGGTGAAAGCTCCCTGTATGCCTCCTCCCAGTCTACCCTCCAAGGCTAACCACTACCCTGGCTTCTGACACCAGAGGTTTTTGCCAGCTTTAAAGGGTATGGCCCTGACCGGCGACTGTGGTAGGAGGAAGTGGGGCTCAGGCTTGGTGTGAAGAGGAAACAGCTGAGCCAAGGCAAGGAGGGGTGCGGGAGCCTGCAGCAAGCGGTCCGTGGTGTAGGCCCCGCTGGAGCAGAGGGGAAGAGGAACAGGCACCGGAAGCCAGAATGGGAGCTCCGTGGCATGGTCTCTGTTTTGTTCTTTGCTCCATTCCCAGGCCACTTGCAGTGCCTGACAACACAATAGGTGTGCAATAAATATTTGTTGAATTAAATCGGAAAATCCAGTTGGGCTCTCTCATAGGTCTTGAATGGCACAAAACAATGACCCCAGCTTCCATTTATTGTTTGCTTAAACCAGAAGCATGGATTATCTCATTTAATTCTCACAGTGGTCCTGGGAAGCTGGTACCATTATTATCAAATAAGGAAATTGAGGCTCAGAGAGGTTAAATGCCTTCTACAAGGTCACTTGCAGGCTAAGCAGTAGAGCCTGGATTCACATGTCCTCTGCTCAGGTCTCTGCACTGGGGGAGAGCAGAGGGCTGGGGAACAGGAGAAGCCTGAGCGGCCAGAGCCACGTGCAGTCGCTCGTGAGGCATCTGGTTCAGGCTCCTTAGAGCAGGCCTAGGCAGGGTGTCCTAATTTCAGAGGATGGGTGACGGCCAAAAGCCATCTCTTCTCCAAAGGCATTCTCTAGGTGGCAGAGGGCAGGCTTAGCTAGACATGTACCTCGTAGGGGGATGAGGCACAGAGAAGGACGGGGCCTTAAGTTACACAGCAAGTCAGCCTCGAGGCCAGGGGCAGGTGCAAAGGAGAGCCCAGGCAGGAAAATAACTGGTCAGAAAAGTCAGGGAATGACCCTTAGCATACAGGAAATAGGGCTAGATTAGCTGGCCTCCAGGGCCCCCATCAGTCTCCTCAAATAGGGGTCAGTACTAGTCTGAGGGTCCAGAGGGCTTGGCAAAGGGAGTGGCAAATATGGCTAAAGCCCTGGCTTAAACCTGGGGTGCAGATGGGGGACCTGGGAGTCTGGACTCAAGCCTCAGCTTTGGTCTCCCCTCACTATGTGACCCTAGGCAAGTGTCTGCTCTCTCTGGGCCCAGGCGACCTCTGAGAGCCCTTCACATCTTTTGCATGCCTGCCAAGCACCAAGTCTCTCTTCTGTCCTCACAGACCTAAGCCACAGGGTAGTTTGCAGGAAGCAGCAAGGGGAAGTGCTATTTTGGGCCTATTATGGCCAATGAGGAGCCCTGCCCAACAAAGGCAAGTGATGGGGCATCCCAAGCTGGGTCAGGGGTAGAATGCTCGGCTGAATTGTGGAGGAGGACAAAGAGTAGGCGCTGGGAATAAATGGGGACAAAGCCAGATGTGGGGCTGTGGGGAAGACACAGGGCAAACACTGAGGGCAGGAAAAGAGAGGGAGCAGATGGGGATTCTGAGCCCAGCAGCCTGGAAGCACAACACCCTGGCAAGTGAGCTTGCACTCAGAGAAGTGAAGTCACTTGCTTAAGACCACACAACCCAGCAATGGAGAACTTTGACCTGACTCCTCTCTGTGTGTGGCACCAAAGCCTAACCCCAGTGGGCTTCCAGACCCACACCAGGGTCTAGACCTAAATGCCCACTGAACATAGCCCTCAGCTGAGCAGCCTCAGCTCAGCTCCTGCTCCACCCAGGCTGAGCCCCACCTTGGCCTCCTAGCCCCAGTTTCTCCTTAGACCAAGCCCACCCTCCCCCTAGAGCTAAGGCACATACACAGGAGGGCAGCCTACCTTCTAGAACACAGGACTTTAGCCAGTTGGGCATTAGCCAAGGGCAGAGCATTGTAATTTAAGTCTGAGCCCCTGCCCCTTCCATCTGCTTTGTTAGCCCCACCACTTCTGGTCCACTAATCGAGGCTGACCTCCACTGACCCCCTGCAGACGATCTCACCTGGTGGCTCTGATCGTGTGGCCCAGGATTCCCACCCCAGGCTCACCTCCGTGGGACATGGAGCTTGTGCCCCTGCCTCGAGATCACCATCACAGCTTACAGCTTCCTGGGGCCTTGTGCTGGGCCACCTAGGATGAAGTGTGGGCCTTTTCTAGATTCACTTCCCTAGCTGCACTATGAGAGGGCCAGCGCGATGGCCTCTGAGGCCCCTGAGCTTAGAGATTGTAATGTTAAGATTCTGTGGGCCATCTGAGATGCCAGGAGTTTTAAGCCTGTGATTCTGAGAATCCTGTGTTCTTAAGCCTGTGCTTCTCCAAACTATTAAAAGCCAATCTAAACCTCTCCTGTGGCCTCTATAACTCCTTCCCTGTCTCTTCACTGCAGCGCCTCGATGCTTCCAGACTCTTAGGCAGGGTGCCGTCTACAGCTTGCTGTGGTTCAGGAGTCAGCTGGCAACAAATAATAATTAGTCTCTCTGATAACCTGAGGGTGTGGGGGAGGGAAGGGTGTGGGCTGTGGTTCCAGGAGACCTTGACTTTAGGAAGCTGCTGCTTGACAGCCCAAAGTTGTTCATCAGAGTCCCCAGAACCACAGGAGGGACCACCTCAGCCTTTCCATCCCTGCAGTTCTCTCCTGGCTCAGGTATCTGCTGCCCACCATTACCACTCAGCCAGGTTGGGCAGATTGCCTCCTCTCACAGAGAACTGAAACAACTATCAGGCAGCAGGTCTAGCACCCTAATTTTCAGATAGAGAAAGGAAGGAGATTTCAGTCAGGAGATGGATTTGACCAAGTCCTCACAGAAAGCTGATGGTAGGGGCGTGCCTGGGCGCTCTGTAGGATGTCTGATTAATAGCCAGTACTCCATGACGAAAAACCATATCCCCATTTGATCTGTCCTGTGGCACGTGAAATGCCACCATTTGAACTCCAGAACTTGGAACTGGAGTACAGAAGGTTCCCTCACAAAGAAATCATCTGCAGGAATAGAGGGCATACTGGGCTGCTCTGGCCCCTTCACCAGGTCCCCAGGCAGGGCCTTCTCTGGGCTCCCTCCATGGGCTCAGACATGGGATATGTGACCCTGGGATCATCCCTACCCCCGCCTGAGGGCCTCCACTGACACTTGAGGGCACTGGAGCTCTAATCCTAAAGTTCTTTCTGCCCTTCCCCCACAACCTTGGCATGGCCCAGGGACATGGAAAC